ATTGCAGTGTTTATTTTTCATGCTTGTTTTTTTCCCACCTTATAAACAATTATTAATCATGATGCACAATCGATGTTTGCAAGTGCATTCCCTCCCAGAACTTGATTTGCACAACGTGATGAGATGAGGCTATATAAATTAGAATGTTCTATTAGTAATAACAATAAAATAGCTTTCTATACATCACTCAAGGAAACAAAGAAATATTTTTTGCATGCTTTTTTTTAATATTGCTATTTTCAAACACATACACAATATAAAATACACCACTGTATTCGCTCGACAGTTTGCGTTGGTGAAAATGCATTTTCAACTTGCACCAAAAATATGACCTGTTCATTTACTAAGAGTCAGAAAAGCAAGCTCACAAAAGACTGAAGCAGAAATACCTAATGTTTTTTCATTATTGCCATTGGTGATCAATAAAATAGCGCTTAGTGAATTTAGTGAGAATATCAACAATTTATTTAAACAAAGCAAGAGTAATCTTTTTGTATCACCACCACTAGCAACAAATACAACACTGATAACAGCAATCTTAAAAACTTCTAACTCAATGTCATCTTTTCAGAAATATAGAAAAATTAAACATCCTACTTTGTTAGTAATGAAAGGTGATACAAGTAATGTCGATAACAATGATAGTATAAATCATGTTAATAAAAACACTGAATTAGAAATGATTATCTGTATTATTTCCATGAATGAAGATAAGATTAAAGATGATGAAAGTAATAATAATGATAATATGACATTAGCAATCAAATCTGGCAACATAAAAGATATCAAAGAAGATATGATGAATGGACAAGATACAAATAATGTCGATAATAATAACAGTATAAATTGTGTAGATAACAATAGAAAATTAGATGAAATGGTTACCTGTATTATTTTCACAAATAAAGATGATTATAAAAAAGCAATTATCACTGAGGTCAAAGATGATGAAAGTGATAATAATAATAATATGATGTTAGTAATTGACAGGAATGATGAATTTGGTAACATAGAAGATATTAAAGAAGATACAATAAATAAACAAAATACAAATAATATCAATAATAATGACAATAAACATACAAAATTAGAAATAATTAAATGTATTGTTCTCATAAAAAAGATGATTATAAAAAAGCAATCATTGCTAAGATCAAAAATGGTGAAAGTGATAATAATGATAATATAACGTTAATAATCGATGGAAATGACAAATCTAACAATATAAAAGATACCAAAAAAGATATGATAAATGAACAAAATACAAATAATGTCAATAATAATAATAGTATAATAAATCATCCTTTCAAAAAAGTAATTTTTCCAATTTTAATATTAGAAAACTTCACGACCAATTAATGATTACGACCAAAAGTGATAGTAAACTATCATATATAAATAACAACAGAGAATAGATGAAATTGTTACCTATATTATTTTCATAAATGAAGATGATTATAAAAAAGCAATCATCACTGAGGTTAAAGATGATAAAAGTGATAATAATGATAATATGACATTAGTAATTGACAGAAATGATGAATCTGACAACATAGAAGATACTGAAAAAAATATGATAAATGGACAAGATACAAATAATATCGATGATAATGACAGTAAACACACAAAATTAAAAATGATTACATGTATTGTTCCCATGAACAAAGATAATTATAAAAAAATAATCATCATTGAGATCAAAGATAATAAAAGTGATAATAATAATAATATAATATTAGTAATCGATAGAAATGATGAATCTGACAATATAAAAGATATGATAAATGAACAAGATACAAATAATATCAACAATAATAATGATATAATAAATCTTGTCGATAACAACAGAGAGGAATGATTATCTATATTATTTTCATGATAATAATGATAATATAATATTAGTAATTAATGAGAATGATGAATCTGATAATATAGAAGATATGACAAACAGACAAGATACAAGTAATGTTGACGATAATGACAGTAAAAATACAAAATTAGAAATGATTACATATATTATTTCCATGAATCAAGATAATTATAAAAAAGCAATCATCACTGAGATCAAAGATGATGTAAGTGATAATAATAATAAAAATGATGTTAGTAATCAATAAGAATAACAGATCTGACAATATAAAAGATATGACAAATGGACAAGATACAAATAATATCAATGATAATGACAGTAAAAATACAGAATTAGAAATAATTACATGTATTATTTCCATGAATCAAGATGATTATAAAAAAGCAATCATCGCTAAGATCAAAGATGATGAAAGTAATAATAATGATAATATAACATTAATCAATAAAAATAATAGATCTGATAATATAGAAGATTCTGTAATATTAAACTTAAAATTTGATTTTTACATAAAAGACTCTCGTATTGCATATTCATTTCAAAGTGTATACATGCTGGTTTTTTACTTTCTAATACAATTAATTTTTCAGATCTCTATCTTATGATTTGATTACTATTGTATTGCTAAATTAAGATTCATTTTAGAAGTAGAGATTATATGTATACTGTATATAATTTTATTATATAAAAATGATACTGAAATTTTATTGACTAAATCTCAATAATAATTTGCATACTTTATTACTTTAATTTGAGTTGCTTCAATAATAATTTTTATAGAGAGAAATAGCTAATTAGTAGTTTTTTAGAGTTTATATAATTAATATTAATCACAAAAAAATAAGTTATTTTTTATTATTATAATTTAGTAATTAATTATTCTAATAATAATTCTGTTAAACACTATTTTTAATCCAAATTATATTCTTAATTTATATTCTATATATTTTCTTAACATATCATGTGTTAAATATTAATTATGTTTTCTTCAATTTTAAACTATATCTTGCATTTGTTAATAAATATAATTTGAGAATATATAAAGATTTTAAAAATATTAATAAAAATTTAAATTAATTGTATATAATTCTTCTACAAGTAAATTAAGATTTGTAAACTTTCACTTTGTACTAATTATTATTTGAGTTAATAATTGGAATCTTTGATTCAAAAAAGGTATTGATTTTGTTAATTAATTAATCAAAATGCTTTATTATAAAATATTAAGATCTTTAATTAGAAAAAGTATTAATTATAATATGTATAAAGAACTTGAATTAATTACAAATTCTAAATTCATTATCTAAATCTAAATTTATTTTTTCAATTTCTCTAAGTTATTATAATAAACAATATTTATTTCTTTTTTTTTCTCTTTGATAAGAATTATAAGAGAAGAAAAAAAATATGAATAATAAAAATAAAGAGTATAAATATTAATTTTATTTTTATAAAATAAGTAAAATTTGAAAGAATATTATAATAACTAATCTGTTATGTTAATTTTTACAAATTTCTTTTATAACACTAACTTTTCAAGTAAGTTAATTTTATTATATTTTTTCTTTGGTTTAAGAATCAGTTATTGATAAAAAATTAAAGATTTAATGCAATTTGTCAAGAAAAACAAACTTTATTAATAAATAATATTTATTTTTTAATAATTTTGAAACTAATTAGTTACTGATAGTACAGAAATGAAAAGAAATATCAATATTAAAATAGTTAAAAATAAATTATCTTTTGCTATAAGATATATTAATAAGTAAAGAATGATTAAATCAAAATAAAATATTATCAGAAAATAAAAAAAGATTAATATTAATATTAATAGAGTAATTAAGAAATAAGAAGTAAAAAACAGAAAACATAAACCTATTATACAAACTTTTTGTTGTCATCAAACAAGATGAAATCTGAAATAATAAATATAGAAATACAAAAAAACTTGCATTATTTAGTGAAAATGTGAAGTATATCGAACAGGAATAATTTTTTATTATTTTAATAATTTCATATTATTACTAGAAAATACAGAGAACTCAAATTACCTGAAAAAGATAAAGTAATAAACAAAATTTTTGATATCATTGAATAATAGTTGTTATTGTTATTTTAATAATGCAAGCAAAATACATAGAATATCAATAAAGCAATTAGTAAATAAAGTATATATGAATAAAAATTAGAGTTTCATATAGCAGTCCATTAAGTAATTATTCAAGACAAAGAAAATTCCTTAAATACAATATGTCCTATTATTAAATTAAATCTTTTAACAAATAATAATAGTTTATTAATATAACTCTTTAATTATTTATCAAAGTAATATTAGTAAAATACTATTATATAATCTCTTTTTTTATATAATTCTTATTAAAAAGAAAAAAGTACAAAATATAAAAATAAAATATAAATATTTATTTTTAAATATATTCACAAAAAATTACAATATAAAAATTATATAAGATCATATATAAAGTAAAAATATCATTTAGCAGAAATTTGAAGAAAATAAATAAATAAAATACTAGAATAAATATAATCACAAAGAAATATACTAATATTTTAAATCAAAAAAAATTAAAACTTAATAATAAATTAACAAAATTATTAATATTACTAAGAATATTATCAATTTTAATAAAAATAAAGAAAAAATCAATAGTAAAGTAATGTTCTCCAAATTAATAAATTATACTGATCAAGAGATTATAAAATTTAAATAATAATTCATAATAATAATAGTTATAGAGTATTAATTATAAAATAATAATATAATTACATAAAATATTTAATATAAATAACATGTATCAAATAATATATTAATAATTAAAATTAGAATTAGAATATATATAAATATAAATAATAAAAATAGAAAGTATAAATAATAATACACTAAATATATTAATATTATTAATATAGATAAATATAATAAATGACAAATATAAATAAAAATTAATAAATTATTATACTTGAATTTATAATATTATTATAATATAAATTAAATTTTATTATTTTTTGTAAAAGTAACAAAAATACAAAAAATTTTAATATTATAACTTTATGAAATTTAGATTTAATATTTTTATTAATATATTTTATATAATATTAGTTTTAAATAAAATTTTAGTTTATATATTTTAATAAATATATTTATATAAATATTGTTACAGTAGTAACATAAAAATCGTTAATTCCAAAAAAATAGTTGAAAAACATAAAAATATTCGTATAATAGCAAAAACCTCTCAAATCATTTTACTT